CCTTAAGCAGGATCGCAGCCCTTCAGCGGCTTGCAGCCTACAAAATAGCGTGCCCAAGCTAATTCGGTTTTGGAATAGGGAGAGGTGAAAACCTGCCCAGGGAAGATGTCCAGGCAGGCCCTCACCGAGAGTCAGATTTATGGGATTCGCACAGCCAGAAAGACCGCCCACCACCTGTGGCGCTGTCGGTGGACGTCACGGGCCCTAAGTGACAACGTTTAGTAGCTATCAAGGCAGCGCAGCTGCGGATGGAGTCCGTGCTCCCGGGCCCGGCGAGGGAGGCCAGCGCACCGTTAGGGCGCGGCACGCCGGGACGCGCGGGCTCTTCATGGGCTCAGTCCTACGACTTGGCCTCGTTCCTTGCATCGCGCTGCCTCGCAGCTGGGGCAGCTCACGAGCGCGTACCTTCCCGGTATCGCGGCCGGGCGGATGAACCGCAGTCGCGAAGCTGGGAAATACTGCGAGAGCGAGCACAAAGCCGAGGGCAGTGAAGAGCTAGAGTATCAGGCTAGGCAGAAAACACGAGATGTGCTCTGTGTCAGCTCGGGGAAGGGGCTGGGAGCGAGTTCTTTCACGCGTACCGGCTTTGACCTCCTTCTAAAAGCTCGGGTAGGCAAAAGGAGTCTCAGCGCACACTCTGCACAATCTGTCACTGCACACGCCCACCGTTCAAATCCCCCCTTCGCTCTGGAGCACTGAAAGGAGAAGAGCTGGCAAAGGCTCTGGAGTACCACCTCCACCCACCCCAGTGTCTCTCTGCCTGCAGCCAACCCCCGGTTTGAGTCCTCCTCCTGAGCGCAGCCCCTGGGGAAACGCCACCTTCCTCGAGGCGGTGGCCTGTACAAACCGGGGGGGAGGATCCGGAGAACTTTTCAAGTTTGAGGTAAGAAGCAGGAGCACTCCGTAACCACACCCACCACGTGTAGTGCGCCAGCTGGTTAGCAGAGAAGAAACTATGCAAAAGCTACTAAGAAAACGTTAGCAAGGACGTGGTTAGTGTTTTCACGGCTTGAGAAACTACAAGCATGTGCTACCCGCTTCCTCGTGTGTGCTTGGAGCAGACGAAGAGAACGGACGTTTCCAGCCCGATACCTAACGATCCTTCCCGTATTGGAGCAGACTGCTTTAAGGCCTACTGCTAAAATTAGAAGCTAGAGGTACCCGTATCTCCAGCAAGCTCACTTTGTTTAAGGCATCAGAGTTGGATGTTTACTGCACGTCTCGATACAAAAGCTGTATCGACACCCAAGGCCACAGATGAGATCTCCCTAGCTCCGTCGCTCAGCAGGGAGGGGCGAATCACTTAGCACTCATTTGGCAGGTTAGTGTGGATTGCATGCTGGTGCACACTAAGCAAAGGAGTTCAGCGGGTTCAGAGTTTCTGGAGAACCTAGTGCTCAATTAGCTAACCATTTCAGGGGGAACCCGGCTCTGTAAGCACCTAGTCGTGTCACAGGAGTAATTGCCTACAGTAATCGACACCCCCAAGAACTAGAGAAAAGTTGAGCCTTCGCCGTAATCGACACTGTCGCCCGTGAGGAGGTTGCTCGTGCTTTAATTCAGCTGTGGAACACCACAGGGTGAGCCTCTTGGAGGTGGTAAGGGCAAACGTTAACAGACGGGGAGTTACCTCTGCACAGCTTCCTGATCTGGCTCCCCGTCGGAGCTCTCCTCATCCACGGGGGTGACCGCGGGGACAGCCTGCGGAGAGAAGAGAAGCCATGGGTTCCGGAAAGCGGCCGGCGTGGTCCCATCGCACAGCGGACGCCTGACCTTCCCGAACAAGCTTTCGCCAGCATCTACGTCAGCGACTCTGCAGCGCCAAGAGCCCCTTCCAACATTCCTTCCCCCATCGAAACTGCCTGCAGGAGGCCGCTGCTTCTTTTGGCACTACCAGGAAAATTCACTGATACAGAACGTGCATTAGCGCCCAAGAGGGACATTGTAGTTTTCTCTATTAGATCAGCAACGGAGAAGAAAAGCAGACATTAAAAGAAGTTCACAAACACTTTGTCCATTCCCGAGGGGAATCCCACCTCGGCTGCTCGCTACAGGAGAGCGCAGCGACTCTCCCCCAAGGGGCCAGAGCACCCCGCCGGGGTGCTCGGTGCGGGGAACCTCCGGGAGCAAGCGGGCACGCTCCCCGCGGCGCTTCCGGAGTGAGCCTACTGCTCTGTCTGCTGCGGCCCGGAGGCAGTCAGCTCTGCCTGCGGGGAAGGTATTTATGAGCATGCCGCCGATTCTTTGCTTTCCTTTTGCTACTTACCGGCGTCATAGTGACGAGCGGAGACGGACCTCGAGGACGTTTCAGCAGCTGCTGCGCGTGTAGCTGGATGTTGGCCCCGCCATCTGATGCCCTCCGCCCCAGAGGGCCCATGCCATTCAGCAGCTGCAGGGTGGGGGGCTGCAGCAGGGACTGCTCCTGGGAAGCACAGACAGCGCGGTTATCGGCCCCGTACCGGGCCCTTCCGGGACCTGAGCCCCAGGCTCACAAACCCCGACACTGGCACGAGAGAAGACAAGCCCTCCGGGCTTCAGGAGAGATGGCGGAATATCTCCAACATCTCGGAGCTGACACAGGGCGGAGAGAGGCAGTCTCCATGGAAAAGCAGCCTTTAACTCTCCGTTTCCCCGCGCTCTCCTTTAGCTGCCTGGCAGGCCGCAACCCGCCGCTCCAAAGCCAGGCAGTGCGGCCCTATTTCTCCCCAGCCCGTTAATTAATTTCGTACTGCAGGGCTCTCTCATCCTCCAGCTTTTTAAGTAACCAGCTAGACTCGTAACTAAAGAGACAGCAAGAGGGTGAATCTTGAAGCTTATGGAGTCCAAGGCACTGGCAAACAGAGAGCGCAAGCACGAGCACGAACGCACGCCCGCACGCCGGTGGGGCGCAGACCGCAGCAGGCAGCACGTGCGTCGGTCGGTACCTTGTACTCCAGCTGGCCCGTGGGCTGCAGGTTCTGCCGAGGCAGCACGTTGTGCATGAAGTTCACGTTGGGGGTCACCTGCAGGAACGGAGCCTGAGGAGTGACACGGGGGAAGCCGGGCAGGAGCTTCTGCAGATCTTCCATGACTTCCGTCCTGCGCAATCACGTTTAGAGACAGGCGAATGAGCGATGGTGCGCAGAGAACCACCCACGGCCCCAGTGGACTCAGCTCCCCTTCACAAAAAAGCTTCTTATTGCTCCGGAAAATGGTCACGGAGAGCAGCCAAGCCACTCCTCGGTTTTCATTTGTCCCTTTTCCCCCTCCAAGTTGAGGTTTGCCAGAACTAGCGCTGCACATAAACCTCGATCGCGTTTATCACAAAAACTTCACCTCGGACATGACAGCAGTGCAGCTGAGGCAAGAAACTGGCTTGCAGACCAGCGAACACCACTATAGCTTACACAGAGCTAATCAGAGGGGAGGAAAGCGTCTCATCCTCAGCTGAAACACTAACCAAGTGCAATGGGACTAGGACGCTTGAGAGAACGCTTTTGCGGAAGAGACACCTTGAATTTCTTTTGCCATCTAGCAAAAAATCAGGTTTGCAAAATAGCCACTGCCAGCAGGAGCAGGAAACGGAAGCTTTGGGACCATCCGCGATACAGACACGTGCCCTCCTCACCACCTGGTCTGGCTAGAGCGAAGCAGAGACCTGGGGCCGAGTGGCACGCTGCGAAGTGCATTTGTCAGCCCAGACACTGGAGAGCGCTGCCGGTCCCAAAGGTATCAACTCTTACATTGCCACGGGGCCCAGAAGTCCCCCTAAGTCTTAGAAGGACCGAAGTCATGTGCTTCGGGGTAAATCTGCAGGTTCCCTTAATACTCTGTCAGGGAGTTGGAGCCCAATACGCACCGTGGGTCAGCTACTCCAACTGTGTGCCTTCTCATGGAGAGGTAACGGACCAGCGCTTCAGGCGACGGCTCTTCCCCTTCATCACTGTCCAAGTTCATTGTCCCGTCAGTCTGGGCAGGCAAAACATTGGAGATGTTGAAATACAAGGTGAGGATCAAGCGAAAGGCTTCAATGCGAGCCCGGGAAAAGAACTTGCAGGGGTCATCACGGGGTGTACCTCACCTCCACAATCTGGTTTTCAGGGTTGATGAGCTGGACTTGCGGCACATTGATGCTCACGGTATTGCCCGTCTGTTCTGTCTGCTGAGATCAAAACCGGAAGACACGAAGCTAGCATCTCTTACAACCCCTTTACCGACACCGCCGGCTTAACACCAGTGCGCGGCCCTACGCGCTCGGGAACAGGCAGGTTACCCGCCAGCCAGCCAAGAGCTCTTTACTCTCAGTTCTCAAGGGCTTGCCTCCTTTCCCCTCCCGCCTTCTGTTCAGGCAGGGTCAGCAGCTCTTCCGCTTCCCCTACGACCTGGCCTCACAGAGCAAATAATTCACTTCTTGGGACAGCAGCGCAAACCGAGGAAGCATCATCGCACCGCAGTCCTGGCCTGTAAACTCCAGCTGCCAGCCAGCAGCCCTCACGCTGCCTTCTCCTCTGTCCCTAAGCCAACGCAAGACTTGGTCTGAAGCGTATTTGCTAAACCCACAGCCGATGACCAAACCTAAAATCTCAAGATTATGGCACCCTGAACACACACTAAGTTCTCAGAGGAGGAACCTTCTGATGCTCCTGCCAGGACGAGGACGCCCACAAGCAGATCTGAGTTTAGCGGCTAAGGGACTGGCTGGCCTTCCAGGGCTGGAAGAACACTAGGCAAGCAGGACCGACCCACCTGGATGTTAGCAGAGGTGGGGAAGGTCACGGTCCGTGGTATACTTGGAGATGCCGCAATGCGCAGATTCTTGTGTCTCTTCAGACGGTCGCAGAGCAGGCTGTAGATTGCACTGTAGTGATCATAAGCATCGGCTCTTAATGACTAAAAGAGGAGAAGGAAAAAGGGGTCAGTTCTTCCTGTCGAGCAATGAAATAAGCTCCGTACCGCGCTGAGGTTGCTCAGTTACCAGAGGCGGTAAGCAACAAACGTCTCCCACGGGAACGGGCAGGAGACGACTGCCTGCTGCGGTGTCCCACCTGAACTGTGCGTTCCTTGTCCAGCCCCATGTCCGCCATTGCCAGCAACACGTCCTCGTTCAGCGGCTCCATCTGCCTCTCCGTCTTCAGGTGCTGACACTCTGCTATCAGCTGTAAGAGCACAGACACAGTCCTCAGTGCTGACGTTCCCAAAGGCACACTGATGAGTCACGGCGCTCCGAAGAACCGACGCACCGGGTTCCGGCTGCAAGCTGGCCTGAGCTCAGGGCTCCTGGCACACCAATTCAAAATCTAGGCTCTCGGCGCCAAGGGGAAAGGTACAAAAAGGTATGCAGAGGAGGAGCGATGCGGAAAGCAAGACCAGGAGACACAGAAAGCGGAAAGGCAGCACACCAGCGCTCGCACCGAGAGTTCTCAAAACGAACGTTGCGGCACTACGCGCCCGGAGCCCGCGTGCAGGCCCACTCGGCAGGCACCGAGTGGACCCCGCTCGCGCACCAGCTCTGCTTCTCACCCTGTCAAACTCCGCGTCGGCCTCCCCAAGCTTCATCCACTTGTGTTTGCAGATCTGCTCCATGGAGAGCCGCTTGCTCGGGTCCAAGACCAGCATGTGGCGGATCAGGTGTTCACATTCTGCGAGGGAAGAGAGGGGCCGGGTAACGCGCAGGGAGGGACGCGGCTTCCGCAAGGACCTCCTCCGTCGGAAGTCACACACGGCAAGACTATCGCTTCTCCCTCTGCCCTTGGCACCCGTTCAGTCCCCGACGTGCCACTCTGCTGCAGACGTTTGATTCTCCCGGGCTTGGAAGGGAGGAAGCCACCCGGGGCCACCGGGCCCCTGTGCTGTTAGCCGGAGCCCCTAGGTGGCACGCTGTCGCCCTGTCCCTCCCCGCCTTGCCGGCGATGGCCGGCGGATGCGACCGGCTTTTGGGGGTCGAAGAGCAAAGTATCCTCTGAAGAGGATACGACAGCTCGCGGTGAATGATTTCTCCGGTGCGACGCGTGTGCTGCCAACACGGGGGACTGCCAAGGCTCTCCCCCATCTGGGGTGGGATCTAAGCTTTGAAAGCACCACGCCTTTCAGCGAGCCTCTTCCGTATGAAGAGAACCTCTCCCCCGAGTGAGAAGGCAGGCAAGGAAGCTTTCAGCTGGGGAACTCCAGGCAGCCCATGCAAAATTATTCCTTCCTCTGAGAGCAGGCAACCCAGAACCTGCACATGGCTCCTTCTTAAGAGAAGTTAGTTTCCTGTGAGAATTGATCACACTTTTCAGAAGCCAGATTTATCACTCAAGCATTCAGAAGCCTTTTTGCAGGAATGGGACAGAGATAGTCACGTCTGAAGGGGCTATTGCTGGAAATTCATGTGCCACAGTGCTGTAAAAAGGTTCTTGTCTAAAACAGGTATAGTGAAAGCCTCTATATTCCTAAATAACTACGCCATTTTTAGCTCTCTCATTTCCTGAAAGTTAGAAAGAGCGTGTCTTTGCTACCGTCTTGCTATGATTTGCATAGTTATACACATGAAAGCTGAGATTTTAAATAAGAGTACTTCGGTTTCTCAATTCTGGATTCAGAACTCATTTCAGCTTAGTTACAAACCACCATCCAGCGGATAAGCTTCCTGGCATACCACTGGGCTGGCATATAAATCAACTGGTATGCTACCGTTTAGGTGCTCCGAAGAATCTGTAAGCAGAGTCGCGACCAGCGCCTGCTCACGCGACACGGTGCGCGCACCCCCTTACCTGTGGACATGAAAAATGGAATGCGAAATTTCCCACTGAGCACCCTCGCCCGCAGGTTCTGCAGCGTGCTCCCGTCGAAGGGCAGAGCGCCGCAGACCAGCACGTACAGCACCACGCCGAGACTCTGCGTCCAAAACAAAGGGCGCGTCAGCAGCGTTAGAGGGAGAGACCGGGAGACCGCAGCTGACTGCAGTAAACGTTGTTTCAACAGAATAAAATAATAATAAAGAAGAAAACAAATCCCACCGGAAGGGACCTTGTTGACATCTCAGCCCCAGGCCAGCTTAATTCCTCCTTCAAACTTCAAGCCTAACGTAGGCTTCCTTTGGAGGCTCGGAAGCCAACGGTTAAAGAAGCCTACAGCCCCAGCCTG